GCAGGGGGATGGGGCGAGGAGGTAGTGGTTTTAAGTCCGGATGACCGTGGGGATATTTTTTAGATCCAATTGATATTTTGCGCGATGTTCGATAGTGTGTTAATTATGGGCAGTAACAAAAACTCGGCTCGGCTCGGCCCATCTCATATGCGAGCTGCAAAAAAATTTTTTTTCCGACGGCTGGTAGGGCTGCCCCAGGGCGGATGATGGCAGTTTGAATGTGGGAGGTGGAAATATGGGTGTTATGTGGCGGGTTTCGTTCGAGGCAGGGGGGCTGGGATAGGTGGTTATAAGGGCTAAATGGCGTAAATCCTTTGTCGGTCAACTAAATAATGTGTATTTAGAGGGGAGAGGAGAACGGTGATGAACGGAAAGGATGAGGAAGTGTGCTCCTGGTTTTTACCGTAGGTACTTGGGTAGGGAAAGGTGAAATACTGTTTGCTTGTACAGTAATGTTACAGTAGGGATGGGGAGGGGTCTATATCTTGTTTGCTAGCAGGATTTGGGACAGAGTAGAGAAGGGGAATGATATGCAAGTCAGGAACTCGAGGCAAAAACTGAAGATAGCAGTAAAGAGAAAAAGACAACACTGCGCACATAAATAAAAGTATCTTAAAGCAAATCTGACTTTATGAATAAAAGCAAAAAATCCGGGGTTTTGCTAGTGGAGATTGATCCAGTAAAAACCAGTCATCAGTAGGTGACTTTCCTATTTATGAAACTGATGCTTGGAAAAGATGTTCCAAAAAACCCGTCATTAGGTTTCCCTTTTTGTGAAACTGATGCTTAGGTAAAGTTGTTCCATAAAAACCCGTCATCAGGTTTTCCTAATTATGAGACTGATGCTTAGGTAAAGCTGAAATAAGTTCCATGATGTGAGCAAAAACAAGATAAATGAATGTCTGGATCTTTGCTCCTGTGAGATTTTGAAGAGAAAAAACAAAGGTGTAACTGCTGTGCACAGTTGCAGGCTGCGAGGGGCAACACTCTATCCTATCCCTAATCCCTAAGTCCAGAGCCGCATCGGCACACACCCACCACCTACCACCCCCAACTACTGTCACCGTTTATCGTCCTTAACTCCTGACCAGCATCTTCATTCCTCTCCACTATCCTGACCTCAACCGCGCCCTCTGAGCTGTATGTGGGCACCTACCAACCAGTACCCCGCAACCACACCCAACCCTCCTCTCTCCCCCTACCCGGTCACGCGGTCCAGTCGACAGACACTGGGTAGCGCTACCCGGTGCGTCTGGCAAAGTGTCAAGCTTTTTTAGTGAGCGACGCTGTGAGATAGCGTTGGCAGAGATGCTAGAGAGTTCTCCAAGCACCACGGA